AAAAAAGCTGAACCTGTATCCTCCCCCTGGGCCACACACACCTTCACAGAAGCCTGTTCTTTGTGTTTCCTCCCCTTCTCTATTCCTCAAGGCATTTCTATAAATAAACAATGAGGCGGGGAGCCTGCCAGCAGCCCGCTATATTCACTCTTCAGTGTCGCAGCTGCGGGTCTATGAATACTCACACTCCTCTTTGCTTCATGGCTTTCACAGTCTTTTCCCATATGTGCTCTCCACCTGATCCCTGCCTCCCACACTGTCGCAGTCCTGTGAGCCCCACCCATGAGTCTCATACTCAGAGTGGGGCACCGGGAACTCTCTATCCACACTCCAAAAGTTCCTAGCTTTACAAATAGAAGATCCAAGTACTACTAAAAAAATAAAAATAAAAAACTATGACCCACCATGATAATAGCTCTGTGAGTTCCAGGCCAGCCAGGGCTATATAGTTTGAACAATAGCAACAACCAAAAAAATAACCTTTGTTTCAAGTCAGACATTCTTCTCTTTTAAATTTTAACGTGTAATCAACACACAATAAGAGTATATATTTACAGAATGCAGTTTACAGGGTAGATGGATATGCTGTGGGATGGTCATATAAGACTGTTTAATATACTCATCGATTCACCCTGCCCTGACTGTAACTGAAGTGAGGTCACACATGAGGAGAGGCTGACACTCTCAGTATAATCAGGGCATAGGCCAGGAAATGAAGATCTGATGCTACAGTATTTGCCAGAGATCTGAACTGCCAGGGCCACAGCCAAGGGACTACACTGTATTTCAGACCTTCCCAGAGGTTTTGATAAGAGCCTCTTGGCATCCAGCATCCCAAAGCATCTCCTGGGGTGTGGGAGAGTTCTAGTCAGACACCTGGAATGCCAGAACCCATAACCAGCCAAACCTCCACTTGCCTAAAGTCTTTTACTTTGCTTTTTAAGAAATATTCTTTTTCCATACCTTGTGCTGAGTCTTGAAGACAGAGCAGTCAATAGAGAGGCAGGTCCTTCCCTCACAGTTTATGGTTTAGTGGGAACATGTAGCTGGACTTTTCTGTCCCACCAGCCAATTCCCAAATAACCACACAGAGCCTTAATATTAATTATAAATGCTCAGCAGATAACTTATGCTTGTTACTAACTGGCTCTTAAAACTTAAATTTACCCATATTTCTTATCTACCATCTGCCATGTGGCAGTACCTTTTTTCAGCATGGCATGTATATCTTCTGCTTTCTCAGCATCTCTCATGAGACTCCTCAGACTCCACCCGTCTTCTTCCCAGCATCCTCCTAGTCTGGCTCTCCTGCCCAATTTCTTCCTGCCCATCTATAGGCTAGTCAGCTCTTTCTTAACCAATGAGAGTCCTACATATTTATAGTGTACAAAGATGGTTCCATAGCATTTCCCCCTTTTTTCTCTAATTAAAAAGGAAGATTTTTAACTTTAACATAGTAAAATTATATACAACAAAAACAGTTATCAAGTAAGAATTACAGTTAAAATATCCAGTCAATTTATATTTGGTAAAATTAGAGAAAATACTCTATTATTTATCTTATCTTTGTGAGTCTAAAGTTTTATACCTAGTTTACCTTTTATCATAACTAAGGAAAACTTTTAGTCTAATTATTTAGTCTTTATCTCCATCAAAGACCCCAGAAGGATGTAATATTACCTAAAGACAGTGACATCTGGACAGTCACCCAAAGTTCTTCTATAAAGTTGAGGAGTAGTATAAATCTTAAAAGGATCTTATTAATAAAATCAAACCTGGAACCAGGTATTGGGGTGAATGCTGAAAGATCAGAGAAGCAGAATAAGCCACAGCCACCTCACCTTGCTAATTCCTCAGCTGATCCTGTTTCCTCAGACTGGAAGCTTCTGAGTCCTCATGCAAATGGATCTCAGTTGAACTGTGCTGTTCAAAGCCTAAAAGCTTAACCAGCTAAAAGCTTCTAGTTCCTGGTCTTCACGCCTTATATCTTTCTGCTTTCTACCATCACTCCCTGGGATTAAAGGTTCACTTTCTGGGATTAAAGGCGTGAGTCACCATGCTTGGCTGTATCCTTGAACACACAGAGATCTAGGTAGATCTCTGCCTCTGGAATGCTAGGATTAAAGGTGTGAGTGCCACCATTTTCTAGCCTCTGTATCTAGTGACTGTTCTGTTCTCTGACCCCAGATAAGTTTATTAGGGTGCACAATATTTTGGGGAATATAATACCACCACATTGGGGCATCCAACTTTGGCCTACAGGCCTAATATATCTGATAGGGATTTTTGAGAAGCAGGGAATTTTGAAGGACTGTCCTACTTTGTCTTGGCAAAGTTTGACAGTCTCTTTCTTTTGTGTCCTGCTTGCTGGTCCAGTTTGGACAGTACACTGTCAGCAGTAGAGATAAAGGCAGTTTCTTGCCAAGTGGCTAACTTTTGCCACAAAGAAAGCAAACTCCAAATGGAGGTTCTTTGATGCCCATCATCTTCTTTTGAAGTAAACTGATGCTGTCAGGAGCAAACATGTCTCACTGTCATGAAAAGCCTTAGGTTATTAAACATATTAAATGTACATTCTGTAAGTCTTTGAAGTGTTTGAAGATCTTCTATATAAATATATCTGTGTATGACCTTGAAAACATCCTAATTTGACTATAAGTTTGATTATTATAGATGACTATTAGCCTGTATTTCTTATATACTACATTTTTTAATGAGCTGCATAAACACAATACTCTAAACAAGAGTAGAAACATACATAAAGCATAACAAAATTAAATTTAAATTTGTATCAATAAACCAAAATCCATACCAATGTAAAATATTATGAGATTAACAGTACCTTTTTTGATGAAGTAGATTCACTGATATATTCTTTTTGCCTATCATTCCTATATCACATCCTCCTTTTTTCCTTTAGAAAGAGATCTTTGATTTTAATTCTTTTGTTTAGCTTTTTTCTGGCTATGACCAATAGCAACTTGAAACCAACCCCTTAAACAATGACAAACATTTATTATCCATTGAATAACCCAAACCCACCCATACCCCATCTCTTGAGAATGTGGGAATCATTATCTAGACTATTTCTTGTTGCCTGTGGAATCTGGTATCTCTGGGGGAACCTTGAGAAAGTCAGGATAATTGTTAGGTCTTGGCTGGAATAGTTTGTGAGGCAAGACCATCTTAGCCAGCAGCTTCAAAGTTGTTCTGGATGCAGAACTCTGAGGAAACTGCAACAGAGGTGTTCTGAGATCTTGGATCACCTGGGCCATCTGCTTTGATTGGTATCTGGTCCCCTTGCTCTGAAAATACATAAACTTTCAAAGATAACATACATAACTGCATTAATACAAGTATCGACTTTGTGTTGTACATAAGTTTGCCAAAGAGGATTTTTGTTGTTGTTGTTTTATATTTGAACAGATAAAATATATGTTACATGATTTATAGTTTTTCTAGGCTTATTTATTTATGTCTGTAGTAAAGATTTTCAGGGAATCTTCTCCGATCACACCTGATCCATATCAATCTGGAATGAATCCACAGCCTCTCATTTCCTGTGAAAATAAAAGCATAACCTCTCCCCCAAAGCAAAACACTTTTTGACTTCCATTTTGAAGTCAAGATATTTTTAAACTATATAGGTTGGTTTAATCCAGCAGCTTTCATAGTCCAATGTGTCTTAGCAGCTGTCACTCCATCAGCAATCAGAAAATTTAAAGACAACACAGTAACATGCAGGATCCAGACTCCCCATGTATTTTCCATTTTTATGTGACTTTTTAAACTTTATTCCCTTTTTAAAAACTTTACTATTTTTAAACTATTTTTTTCTATGACTGTCTATATCCCTTCTCTTTTCTCTCTCAAGCCTATGCATATTTTTAAACACACTGCAACATGTTAAGAGGTTTTTGTTTTTCCATCTGGGTCTATCTTTACTACTCATCTGTAATCTTTTCTTTCTGCATGAGCAAAACTTAAACCCTCCATGCAACTAGTTCATGGCATGCTGACGGGGCTTGCTCTGACAGCTCAAGCCCATAGGCAACAACTGGGAGATACTTCTCTGCATCACTGCCCTCTTGAGAGACTGCTGGACTAGGAAACTGTGTCTGGCTATGTTTTTGTGTGTTTGAAAACTTGTCTTAATCTTTTTTAGGTTTTATGTGGATATACGCTGCCTTGCCCCACATTGGAATACCATTTGTAGGTGAACTTTTCTGTCCTGCCAGCCAGTTCCCAAATAACCACACAGAAACTTATTATTAATTATAAATGCTTAGGTGATAGCTCAGACTTGTCTCCAGCCAGCTCTTACAACTTAAATTAACCCATTTCTATTCATCTATGTCTTTCCCTGAGGCTCATTTAGCTCATCTATAAGCTTTCCATGTTGCTTCTTCCAAATCTAGCTCACAATTCCTCAGACACCGCCCTTCTTCTTCCCAGCATCCTCCTAGTCTGGCTCTCCCATCCAATCTCTTCCTGCCCAGCGATAGGCCAGTCAGCTCTTTATTAACCAATGAGAGTAATACATACTTACAGTGTACAAAGACTGTTCCACAGCAGGAGAGGGACTCCATAAGTCAGCACATGTGAAAATACATGGACCAGTTCACAGAGAAGTTCAAACACAGATGTAATGTAGTTTCCCTTTTTTACACTGTCCTCAACTATGCTATGTCAAATCATTTCCCTCCTCTCTCCATGCCTTTAAAGTATTTCACACAAAGTCTACTTTCAGTTACTCAAGTTTAATTCAGACCAGTTTAGACTCTACCTCGGACATCTTATTTTATCTAAAGCCATCAGACTGCCACAGTAAATGAGTCTTGCTGTGAGAGGGGATGAATTGGATGGGTTGGAGCAGCATCTACTCTCTCCTCTCCTCTCTGTGGCTTTTCTGGTCAGTAAGAAGGGGCAAAGAGGATGTGGGGATTAAGCAGCTCCCCCTCAACCCCAGCTCTTGCCTCCTGTTGTTGTTCACCTCACAGGTCCTGTTGTGGGATAGCCTTGGCCAGAGTGATACCTTGAATGGCAGCCTGCAAGTCAACCCAGTCCTGGTACTTTCCTCCATGTCCTTTGGCCAATGGAATATTCAGCCACCCTGCCTGCAAAGCCATAGAAGGTACTTCATCTATCACCAGCCTTCCCTCTTCACAGCTGCTTTTCTCCTAGAACAGGGCCAACGGCAGGGCCCAGCAGGTGTTCCAGGCAGATGTTCCACCAGGAAATATGACAATAGTATTTCCTGTAAGGTACTACTCATTCTGCCTTGGCCTAAAGGATGGAAAAGGAGCCCTTACCTTTCCCCTCAAACCTTGAGTATACCCTTCCTCAGCTCAGACTTCTGTTTATAGACCTAAAATACAAGCTGGTCAATTGTATTCATGCAAGCTCAGTTCATGCCATATCAATCGCTGAAGACCATCTGGGAGTTCTCAGAAACACAGCATGCTTAGTGCCTTTCATGGTACCTGTGGGTCTATGAAATACCCACACTGAGGAATCACAATTCTTGGGTCAAATCTGGCCCTTACAAACTGTCTGCATAACCTTGGCCAGGTGATTTAACTGCTCTGTGCCTGAGCATTCTTACTTGTAAAATGGTGAGGGTACTGGTACATACTTGACAGAGTTAAAAATAAGAAAAGGTAAGTAAAACATAACATAGACTGGTATATTAACAAATAGTCATTGCTAATTCCATGAGGACATTGTGCAAGATATAAATGCAGTACTCATATATCTCAGAGCAGTTTTAATTTGCAATTCCCTGATGGTTAGGAATGTTGAAACCTTTTCAAGTATCTGTTGGCCATTTGTATAACTTCCTCTGAGAATCATCTATTCAATTCACTAGTATATTTATTGATTGGATTAAATTTGGGGGGAATATATTCTGGATATTGATCTCCTGTCAGATGTATAGTTGGCAAGAATTTTTTCCCATTATGTAGGCTTTATTTTCAATCTAATTGTTTCCTTTGCTATCTAGGCAAATTATTTTCATCCCACACAATTCCATTTGTTATTCTTGGGATTATTTCCAGTGCTACTGGAATTCCTTCCAGGAAGTCCATGCCTATTCCTCTATCTTGCAGTATTTTGCCCATGCTTTGCTCTGGCAATTCCAGTTGCAGGTCTGTTCTGGTTAGGTCACCTTGACAAGTACTTTTGTCATTTTGTAAGAGAACCTCAATTGAGAAAACATCCCTACCACATTGCCCTGTGGAGCATTTTCTTGATTAACAAATGACGTGGGAAGGTCCAGCCCTTTGTGGAATGTGCCTCCCCTGGGCAGGTGGTCCTGGGTTATGTAAGAAAGCAGTTGTATTAGAAAGCTAATAGGAGCAAACCAGTAAGCAGTGTTCCTCTATCAGTCCAGCCCCAGTTCCTGCTTCTTGGAGCCTGCCTTGAGCTCCTGCCCTGGCTTCTCCCAGCAATGGAGTATGACCTAAGAGTTGTAAATATAAATAAACCCTTTCCTCCCCAAATTGCCTTTGGTCATTTTTTTTAATCACAGCAATAGAAACCCTAAGACAAGGTCTTACATCCTAAAATGATTGTTTTATGCATGATGACAGATATGTATCTAGTTTCATAGCTCTAGCTTTATTTCAGTATGATGTGTTGAGATACAAAAAAATTAATTTTATTCTTTTGTATTTGTTAAACCTTGCTCGGACAGACTGGAGACAGCCACTCATTACTCTAGTTCCAAGGGATCCAATGCCCTCTTTGGATCCATGGGCACTAGGCATGCATGTGGCACACATATATACATGTAAGCAAAACATTCAACACGTAAAAAATAAAATAAATCAATTTTTAAAGACTTGCTTAGTCATCTAAAATGTGATCTATCTTAGAAAGGGTTCTACAGTCTTCTAAGAAGAACACAAGAACAACAGATGTTCTGTATGTGTTGGATGGAATATTATATATACGTCTGTTGAGTACATCTGGTCTGTGATATAGTTTAATTCTGCCATTTCTTTGTTGATTTTTAGTTTGGGTGAACCTACCTAAAGATGAGAATGGAGTACTGAAGCTCCCCAATACTACTGCATCAGGACCTATCTGGATATAAACACAGTGTTTGTCTTATGAAGTTGGGAGAAAATAGATAGCTTCTTGGTGAATTGTTCCCTTTATTGCTATGTGGCAGCTTTCTTTATCTCTTCTAATTTTTGGTTCCAGATGTTGGAATAGCTGCAGCAGCTTCTTGGGGCTTCTGTTTGCTTGATAAATTGGCTCCTATCCTTTGCCTCTCAGTCTGTGGGTGTCTTGACTGGCGGGGTTGTTTCTTGGAGACGATAGATAGCTGGATCTTGTATTTAAATCCTCACATTGTACATTCACTGTACGTGGTACTGTCACATCAGGATGTTTTCATACACTGAGTGGACTCCCCTCATGCATGCTGCCCCCCTGCCTCTCACTCCTTCCCCTCCTGTCACTCTCCTCTGTCCCCCTAGACAGCTCTGCTTTTGCTTCTATGTAATATATGCAGACATTATTCCACATATCCCTATGAAATCCAGGAACCACATATCAGAGGAAGCACGGCATGTGTCATTCTGAGACTGGCTTAACTCAATTAGTGCAATTAGCCCCACTTGCATCCATTTTCCTGTAAGTAATATAACGTGTTCTTCTCTGTGGCTGGAAAGAATTCCATTGTGTATATTACCGCATTTCCTTTATCCATGACTCTGTTTTTGACACCCAGGCTGGTTCCACAGCTCGCCTGTCATGAACAGTGCTGTGGTGAACATGAATCATCTGTGTGATATGTTGACCTGACATCCTTTGGGTAACTACCCAGAGGTGATGCACCTGTGTTGTATGGAGGATCAATTTTTAGTGGTTTTCTGGGGGGGGGGGCAAACCACCACACTGGTTTTCACAGTGGCTACACAGGTGCATTAGTGGGTAAGAGTTCCCTTTGTGTACACCCTCACCAGCCTTTGTTGCTCTTTTGCATTCTCGAAAACTACCATTCTGACTAGGGGGAGATGGACACTCAGTGTGGTTTAATTTGCATTTCTCTGATGGCTAGTGAGGTGGAACACACTTTCATGCTTCTTAGTCATCTGTGTCCCATCTCTTGAGAACTGTTTATTCACTTCATTATCCCATTTTTTGATTGGGTTGTTTGGTTTGCTCAGTTTTTTGAGTGCTTTGTGTATTGTTGTTGCACGAATTCCTAAAGGTCTGATAATAAAAAACCCAGGGCCAGATATTGGAGTAAATACTGAAAGATCAGAGGGACAAAGGAACAAGCCACTAGAGAAACTTTTCACCACTACTGAATCCTCAGGCCGAATGGAAGGTGAGATCCTATCCACAAATCCTCTAAGTGAAAGCCTCTGAGTCCTCAGCCTTCTTGTCTCCTCACGTCTTATATACCTTTCTTAGCCCAGCCATTTCACTTCCTTCCTAGTGCTGGGATTAATGGCGTGTGTGCTTCCCAAATACTGATAGCAAAGGCATGAGATCTCAAGTGCTGGGATTAAAGGCGTGTGACTCTCAAATGCTAGGATTAAATTTGTGTGCCACCACTGCCTGGCCTCTATGTTTAATCTAGTGGCTGGCTCTCTCCTCTGATCCTCAGGCAAGCTTTATTTGATAAACACTATATCACCACATGTTGTAGATTAATCCTCTATCAGATGTACAGATAGATTCCCTCCCGTTCTGTAGTCTGTCTCTTCACTCCATTGTTTCCTTTGCTATGTGGAAGGTTTTCTATTTCGTGTTTGCTGATGGCTGGCATCACTTCCTGAATAACTGGAGTTCTCTTCAGAAAGTCTGCCTAAACCTGTTTCTCTACTTTTCCCTCTAATGGTTCTAGAACCTCAGCTCTTACATTATTTATCCTGTCCTTTAGTTCAATCAGCTGTTCTGAACATTTACATTTATGTACTTATTTGATGTGTGTGTGTCCACGTGTGTGTGCGCACATGTATTGTTCCTTTCAGCTGACCAGACTTTTTAAAAACAGCGAACTTTATGGCAGCTAGATGGCTCCACAAGTTGCGCTATCGCCTGACCTCAGGCTCAGAGCTATCACACTCCACATTGAGGCCTGTTCCCAGGAGTCCAGGGCAAGCTGTCTTTCCCTATACACTTCAACACCTGCGTCAATCCTTGTCAGTGTCTGGCCCTTGCACTGTCTACAGCTGTCTCCCATCATCCCATCTAGAGACTCCCTCTCATCCTGGGGCTTGGGCAGTTGAATCCAAGCTCCCTGACACGTGGTTATCCCCTGCTATCATATCCCAGGGGTAGTTAGTTCAGTGTTAGACAACAGGTTTCCTTTCAAGATGGCCCCCCGCCATAGCCCTCTGAACTGGGAATTCTTTGCTGTTGAGCCCAGTCCCCAGAGAAGTCACTTTCTCAACAAGACCCACAAACAGATTTGTGGTTTAATTTGAGCTATGGGCTCAATAATAAGAGCTATGGGCTTGTAAGGTAGGACTGTGAGTATATTTTCACCAGGACCACTGGCTTACCTTTTGGATGAGGCTTCTGTTCCCCTTCCTGACTCCAGGAAGCCAAGTGATAGGTGATGAGGGAATGTCTTTCTGTATGCTGCGAATTGTGTCGCTCTAATTGGTTGATAAATAAAGCCGTTTGGCCTATGGCAAGGCAGCTAAGAGGCAAGTGAGACAGGAAGAAGGCAGGGGGAGATGCCAGTGAGCTGCCTAAGGAACAACATGTTTCCAATAGAAACTTTGTTTCTTCCTGAGATGATTTTGATGCAGCACACTTTCTTAGAAATTTGTCTTCTTCAAGTTTTCATGTACATTATAATAATTTTTTTCATAATCTACTTTTCTCTGTATTAACTATAATTATTAAATGTTCATTGCATTTATATTTTTGTTCTCTCATTTGAATCTTTATGCATCCTGACAAAGGATTTGCCCTCTGGTTGCTTTGTGTGTGAACTCATATTTAATGGAAATTTCTTGAGGCACAGGTTAAATGTTCATGTACAGTAAGAGCTTGTGTGTGAGCCTGTATGGAGCACCTGTAGTCAGTACAACCAGGAAGTATTTCTTAATAAGCTCTTGGCTTGATGTGGATGAAAATACCATCATGAAACCCATTACTTTGCATCCTAATTTAGAAAGTAA